AACCAGTGGAGTCACAAATCTCAAATGATAATAGTAAACTTAGAACATTTGCAAAAATCAAATTTAAATACTCTTTTGAGCCGTATTTGACACTACAAAACATTAACCATAGAAATGCATTACTAAAATTGAGAACAAGCACACACAAACTTGAAATTGAAAAGGGCAGGTACACACACCCTAAAACACCAGTAAATGAAAGAAAATGCAAACAGTGCAACATGAATGTGATTGAGGATGAATTTCACTTTCTCATGATCTGTTCAAAATATGGAAACTTGCGCCAACAACTTATGTCTGAATTTAATTTTCTATCACATGATGCACACAATACATTCATTCGATTGCTCAGTGCAGATGATTGTGAAATTATAAAAAAGGTTTCACAGTTTATTTACAAAGCCTTTCAAGAAAGAATAGATAGTTGATAGCTTTGAATTTTATTATTATTAGTCTTAGTTTTATTATTATTAAACTTATTAGTATTAGTAAAAAATTTAACACATTACATTTTACTTTTATACTTAACATTATAATATTTTCTCTTTCTTTATTATTTCATTATTATTATACTTTTATTGCTACTGTACTGATAGAAATACTGTATTTCTAAAGATGCAATAAATATTATTATTATTATTATTATTATTATTATTATTATTATTATTATTATTATTATTATTATTATTATTATTATTATTATTATTATTATTATTATTATTATTATTATGTACGTATGTTGTATACGTATAGCATATGTTACCATATATCGAATGTATCAATGGTCATTGTGTTGTCCTGTCATTTTAAAGTCAATTCATGCTAAGAGATCACATTTATAGAAGTATTGAATACAGTATAAAACGATTTATCGTTTGATATATATGAGTATTGTGCATCATCATAATTGATCCAGTTTAAGGATGTACTAGTAGTTGAAATTTACGGGAAGTAAAATTCACACTAACTAATTTCATAGAAAATTTGTTTTAAACCATATCAAACTCACAATTCACACTAATCAACAATCTATGTTCCGCTTTATCAAGACAACTAAAATAACAACTTGAAGGCATTTTATGAATAGAGTAGACGTTGTGTCTGGTCGTTTAGTTCACACATACTAATCACTCATACACTTATTCAAATGCAATACAATGCAATTTGGAATCAAGCAAATGATTCCGCGTTAGTTTTGGCATATGTTGTATTTATATGCAAGAATACAGATAGACTGCCCACCATATTGGCATATGTTGTATGTAAGAATACACATATTACGTGGAACAGAAAAATTGTTCAATACGGTAATTATGTATCACTATTTATTAGTATCGTTAACAAAACAGAACACAAATTCGCGTACAATCAATTATGACAAATCAATATTATAATTTTTCTAATATTTAATATGCATAATAAATATTCAATTAATCTAGATATAAAAATACATACACAATAAGTAAATAAAGTTCTAATCCATCTCTGGTATACTGCACTGTGAATAATTAATTAGCTCAACATTATTTGTACACATTTATGCGGTAAGTGATACGTTGCATGTGAAAAGCTTCCGTATTTAGAGGAATAATGTCCCCCACCAGTGTAAAATAAAGATATTGCACCACCACCAGTGCAATATAAATTTATTACTCCGCCTTGAGTCACCAATATACAAAGTCGTGACTTTGTTTTAGAGACCACCACTCTCATTATATAATTTTAGAAAATATCTAATTTACACTGTGTTGACAATGCGGATTTCTTGCACGCTTCACTTAGATTTCATGTTTCTGGACGAGCACTCAACGTTGAAACAGGCAGGCATAGACATCTGACCAGGGCAGAAAGTTGTTTGTCCATAACTGTTAAAATAATGTAGCCAGTCGAGGTTGAGTATACTTTAAAATTATCTGAACGTGATTCGTCCAGGTTCGGTTGACAGGTGCGGGTCCAGAATATTATTTTCCCGGTTCGTTTCTACGTAAAATGAAAAATAAATGAGAAAAAAAGGAACAAAATAAGATTCAGGGTGTTCGCGCGAACAAAATGCATTCGTCCCTCGGACTGGTTCACGTGTTGTAGTAAGTCGGTATTGATAATGTACTCGTGGTTGTGCAACTGTCAGATATTAGACTTCACCCGAGCCTGTGGCTATCGTCATGGTGTCATTGAATATATATATATACAATGGTGTGGTTTATTATTAGCTAAAGTTTGGATATCAGACCAGGACACAATGAATGTAAGGACTGATCTGCGTGAAATATGAAAACATCATGGGGTTAGTACATTGCATATTAATGTATCACGTAATTATTAATTTTATTATTGATATTATGATTGTAAAGTACATAGCAAAATAGACTTATGTTTACAACTTAACAAAAACACGAGAACAATAATCAAATGTCTGAATTTATCGACGTGTGTTTACAAATACATATATTCACAGTAAAACAAACCCAACCCAATTAGTACCCAACCCGCACACACTGACACCCATCCATCCCATGGCATATTTAGCCTCACAGAAAACCATGATAAGTTTTAGAACCAATTTTATTCTTATCCGTGGGTAAGGGAGCGTACGTTGAGTCAGCCAGTGTTTGAAGATGACCGGCATGGAGCGCTTCCCATATTAAATTGATATCACCTTTATTCAATTTTCCCTTGTGTGCTGGATCACATGCTAAAGTACGCCCTACCCAGTTGTTGTAAAGGTTCATTAAGCGTTCACCCAATGATCCAGATGATGCCAACTCGTGTGCATCACCGAATGACTTAGCGACATCAGCTCCAAACTCACAGGCAATGCGGTACATCAAAAGAGCATGTCGAAAAGCTGATTGATGTCCCGTGTAACGACCTACAGGAGATAAAAAGATAAATCTTTAATGATTACGTATTTATACTGTATGTTACAATATAACTGCACATACAATTAGAGGCCAACCAGTAAATCACCTTTATTTTTATGCATTTTAATTTTCGCACTAGAGATATTATTGTATGAATATATTCCCCGCTTAAAAAGAAATTATCATTGTTTTTTATCTGTATGACTGTAATATCGAAACATACCATGTCGCAACAGTCGCTCAGCCTCGTCGTTGGTTTTCTGTGAAATGTCATGTATTCTCTGGGCTCTCGATGGGTCCTGTCTTATTAGTACATCCAGTTTGGTTCCGCATGGGTTGAATTCAAATCTATCGTAGGCGACCCTCACAGGTAGGTTGGGAGTAGGCCGTCTAGCAGCAGCTGAAACCAATATAATTAAACGTCAACCGAGGGTCACAGTGAATGTAACAACTGTGCACCATTTGATCGCTTTGAGACACGTACTGTTTCCAAGGATACTCAAACCATCGTATTTTATATCGACATAAACGCAGTTAAATCTTGAATGTCAGGGAAGTGCTCGCCGTTTAGTGATTAACGTGATTGTTACAGTATTGATACTATCCCTAGTAACGCCCGATTAAAGTCTGTCTTCCGAATCTCACCATAGCTACATTTAATTAGTAAGTAGTATATTATTATATATATTTATAGTGCAGCGCTGTCTTTGCTCTTCCATACCGTCTCGAGTAAAAACAATGGCAATATATACATTCCATATGGTAAGGAACAGATGACAACCTCTTAATTCCGTGACCCACATAGTATATTGAAAAAGCAACAGGTTCGTCACTTACTGACACTTTGTACATTGCAGTTTGAAGTAAAACTCAGAGAGATGGGTTACGTACACGTACGCCATTAGACATTTTAGTACCATTTCTACTTACATTTAGTACTCGCCGCCATATTTATATCAAGCTATTTCTAGACTGTTTAAATCACTACCTCGTTGTAGAGCTCGCTGGCGACCGTTGTTTTGCATGTTGCGCCTGAGTGCCTAGGTTGCTATACAAAGGTTTAATGAAGTGTGTAAACAAAACGTCACAGTGCATAGGATACGCAGGTTAATAATGACATACATTGTATGTACTTGAATATAATGACCTCACGGAACCTGTAATCTAGACATAGTCTCACCGTGGTCTGTAATTCCATAATCTCACTTTTGTATTAGTTGGAATCTAGAACTATCTACGTTCGTATGGGTGTATGTATCATTTCAGATAGAAACCGGAAATTCTTCGTGATTTCTTCAGCCTTGACATTAGAACAGTTTAGTGTATCGCCAATTCGTTCAGAAATAGTGCGTGGTAAATATAATTATATCATAGTAAAATTCATTTACAGCAATTCCAGGCACTGATTTGACGCTGAAGTAGTGCTAGATGTTGATAACTTACTACAATAGGTTACACACTTTGTTTTCACATTTACAGAAGTTGTTACAAATAATGCAGACAGCAAGTCTGAAAATTGAAACGCACCGGTAGAAAGCTCCGCCCATAAAAGTGGCGGTACATTAGTTTTGAATTTCTCCTCAAATAAACGATCGAGGCTCCCTTAATTTCGTACTAGTA